AATGTACATTTTTAATAATTTCTCCCACAGTAGCCTTGCTGTCTGCCTGTAGCCAGATTAAGCACTGTAGTTTACTAAAATATATATACTATATAAAGCCCGAGAAGTGGGGAAAACGACAGACTGTAACGAGAATATACCCCAACACGCAGAATTCAGCTAAACAGAAGACAACACAGAGGAGAGATACGTCTACAGGATCTTAGAATGGCCGGACTCGACGTATATGAGAGGAGGCAGAGTCAGGAACGATCCGAAGTCAAGGACACAGAGACACAGCGTAAACTAGGACTAGCCGGGATCTGGTACACAGTAAACAGGAAGCCGACAACCAGAACAGATAAGGATAAAGAGAAAACGTAGTCAGAAACAAAGCCAAAGTCAATACGGAGAAAACACAACTGAACACAACAAGCGCTAAAGGGAACTGAAACAGAAACCACGATAGGGCAGGGAGTAAAGGGAGAGGTAAGTTTAAATAGCTTCTAAACTAATGTGATTGGCTCCTGTCATATCCACACCCCCAAAAGGTAAGTGCATGGGGAGTGTGGCATGACAGGGGCCAATGGGAGCCTTTTAACAATCTAGGCTCCCACTGTCTCTTTAAGAGCGCGCCCGAGACTCGCGGCGCGCTCTTAGATTCAGACGGGACACGTGACCGCTTCTCACGGTCACTGCCCGCCTTCCTATTGAAGCCGTCGGATGAGCCGCGTGCGGCTCGTGCAGCAGCAGGACCGCGCGCCGCTCGAAGAGAGGACCGCGGCCGGCCCCTGGATAAGGTAAGTAACGCTACAGTACCCCCCCTGAGGACACGCCCTCCGGGCGGGTAGGGCCAGGCCTGGCAGGAAAACGAGAATGGAAAGAACGCACAAGGCGGGGAGTGTGAACAGCATCAGCTGAAATCCAACTCCGCTCCTCAGGCCCATAACCCTTCCAATGCACCAAGTACTGAAGTTGACCCTTAAGGTAACGAGAGTCAAGAACAGCAGAGACTTCGAATTCCTCATGACCCTCCACGGAGACAGGAGGGAGAGGCGGAGAATGCCGGGTATAGCGGTTGCGTACGTAAGGCTTCAACAACGAGGTGTGAAAGACATTAGGAATACACAGATTCCTAGGAAGACCCAAGGCATATGAAACAGGATTAACCTTATGCAGAATACGATAAGGACCTATGAAGCGGGGAGCCAATTTCATAGAAGGCACCCACAGGCGAATATTCCATGTGGAAAGCAAAATCCTGTCCCCCACAACATAAGAAGGAGCCGCCCTGCGATGCTTGTCAGCCTGAGCCTTCTGGCGAGCAGCGGAATCCACCAAAGAACGCTGAACCTGCTCCCAAGTATTACGCAAACCAGCCAAATGCTCATCCAGAACTGGCATGCCCTGTGAGGAGAATGCAGCCGGAAGAACAACGGGATGCTGGCCATAGACAACGTAAAAAGGGCTTTTGCAGGAAGAATCATGAGTGGCATTATTCTGAGCAAACTCAGCCCAGGGAAGTAGGTCAGACCAATTGTCCTGATGGTGAGACACAAAACAACGAAGGTACTGCTCCAGAGACTGGTTGGCACGTTCAGCAGCTCCATTAGACTGGGGATGGTAAGCGGAAGAAAATGAGAGAGAAATACCCATTTCTGAGCAAAAGGCTTTCCAGAACCTGGAAATAAATTGGCTACCCCTATCGGACACAATAGATACAGGAATACCATGTAACCGAAATACTTCTCTAGCGAAGATAAGAGCCAGTTCCTTGGATGTGGGCAACTTGCGAAGAGACACAAAGTGAGCCATCTTGGAAAACCGATCTACTATCATCAGGATGACTGTATTACCATTCGAAGGGGGTAATTCAACAATAAAATCCATGGATAGGTTAGACCAAGGTCTCTCGGGAACGGGTAAGGGATGCAGAAGCCCACAAGGAACTCTACGAGACGTTTTCATACATGCACAAGTAGTACAAGCACTTATATAGTCAGTGACATCCTTGCGTAAGGAACCCCACCAAAAATATCGAGAAACTGCTGACATCGTTTTGGTAATACCAGGATGTCCAGCAGTCTTAGTATCATGATATAATGACAGAATCTCCCGTCTCTCGGGAACATCAACAAACAATTTATCAATAGGCCTCTCGCTAGGTGCCATACTTTGTTTCGCCTGTATGGTCTGCAAGAGGGATGAAGAAATAGACAACATAGTAGTAGCTATTATCCTGTCTGGGGGAATGACAGGAGTAACATCAACCTCCTGTTTGTCAGTAGTTTCGAACTGTCTGGACAGAGCGTCTGCTTTAATGTTGCGATCACCTGGCCTATAGGTGATAATATAATTGAAACGGGACAAAAATAGTGACCATCTAGCCTGCCTAGAAGACAATCTTTTAGCTTCACCAAGGTAGGATAGATTCTTGTGATCCGTAAAAATGAGGATAGGATCCTTAGTTCCTTCTAACAAGTGTCTCCATTCTTTAAGAGCTAAGATAATAGCAAGGAGTTCACGATTACCCACATCCTAATTCCTTTAAGCTTTGGACATTTGTCTAGAAAAGAAGCCACAAGGATGCAATGGCTTTTCAGGCGATTCTCTTTGGGACAAGACGGCACCTACCCCGATTTCAGAAGCATCAACTTCAAGAATATAAGGCAGTGAGGGGATAGGGTGCTGTAAAATAGGTGCAGAGGCGAATGTAGTTTTAAGAAAGTCAAAAGCCTGAAGTGCCTCGGGAGACCAGACACGAGTATTACCACCCTTTTTTGTCATAAGTGTGACAGGCGCTACAATAGAAGAAAACCCCTTAATAAAGCGTCTATAATAGTTAGAGAAACCAAGAAAACGCTGAATTGCTTTCAAACCCTGTGGTAGGGGCCACTCTATAACAGCAGAAAGCTTCTGGGGATCCATACGAAACCCTTTGGCGGAAATCAAGTACCCCAAGAACTGGACTTCGGATTGGTCAAATAAACATTTTTCTAGTTTACAATAAAGACCATTAGTAAGAAGGGTCTTCATGACCTTTGTGACATGTCTATGATGAGTGTGTAAATCTGTAGAATATATCAGTATGTCGTCCAAGTATACAATTACAAATGTGTGAATAAAGTCTCTTAGGACGTCATTAATAAATTCCTGAAATACTGCTGGGGCATTGCAAAGACCAAATGGCATAACAGTATACTCGTAATGACCGGATCTAGTGTTGAATGCAGTCTTCCATTCGTGACCTTCCTTTATGCGTATAAAATTGTATGCACCTCTAAGGTCCAATTTGGTGAACACAGTAGCATGTTTCAGCCTGTCAAATAACTCTGTAATTAAAGGTATAGGGTATGCATTTTTGATAGTGATTTTGTTTAGACCTCTAAAATCACCCTCTTTCTTAGATACAAAAAAAAAACCCTGCTCCAGCCGGAGAAGAGGATCTCCTAATGAACCCCTTTTCTAGTGATTCTTTAACATACTCCTCCATGATACGGTTTTCTTGAATAGATAAAGGGTACACCCAACCCTTTGGAGGTATAGTGCCAGGCAATCATAGGATCTGTGAGGCGGTAATTTATCAGCTTCCCTTTTATCGAATACAGTTTTGAGAAACAAGTACTGAGGAGGTATAACAGTAGACAAAGGAGGAGTAGTAGGAACATTAATGGTATTTAAAGGGACTTTAATCATACAAGAGTCGTGGCAGGTTTTACCCCATGATTTTAATTGTCCCGATTCCCAGTCGAAAATGGGATTGTGAGAACATAACCATGGGTACCCTAACACGAAATGAGAAGAGGGAGAGGTGATAACCTGAAACCGGATGGTCTCAAGGTGTAAAACTCCTGTGTACATGAATAATGGTACAGTTTCATGGGTAACGACTGGAGTATTTAAAGGTCTACCATCTATGGCCTCAATGGCCAAGGGTATCTCTCTCTCTCTGACGGGAATGTTATTTTTCGTAACAAACTCAGAGTCAATTAAATTCTCAGCAGCCCCGGAATCAACCAAGGCTAGTATGCTTTCAGCTATACAACTCTCTCCCGTATGAAGGGAAACAGGGAGAAGCAAACGGTTAGGAGGCAATTTAGGAGACTTAGATATCACACCCAAGGCCAGTCCCCTATAAGGTCTTAGGTGCGAGAGTTTTCCAGAAGCAAAGGACATTCTTTTACCATATGGTCTCGCCTACCACAGTATAGGCAGAGTCCGTTCCTTCTTCTAAGTAATTTTTCTTTACTTTAACACTCTCAGGTTTATCAACTCTGGGGTTAGTAGGTGTGACCACACATCTATTCCTGTTCTTGGTATAGAGCCTGTCATGAATCCTATTATCTATATCAATGAGGTAGTCAATAAGGTCCTCTAATGGAATAGGAAGCTCCCTTGCCGCTACCTCATCTAATATAGTGTCAGATAAACCTTCCATGAACGCAGTGGTTAACCCATTATTGGTCCAATCTACCTGTGAAGCAAGGGTACGAAACTGAATAGCATAATCAGCCACAGACCTAGACGCCTGTTTAATTCTCATTAATGCTCTTGCGGCATTCTTTGACCTTTTTGTTGTGTCAAAAGTTCTATGAAAAGCCGTAAGAAAGCTATTGAAATTATGCACCATAGGTCCATTGGCCTCCCAAATAGGATTTGCCCACTCAAGTGCTTTGTCAGTAAGTTGATGCATCAAAAACCCCACTTTAGACATATCAGTGGGAAAGGAATGTGGATACATCTCAAGGTGGAATTCTATTTGATTAATAAAACCTCTGCATGTCTTAGCTTCCCCTCCATACCTAGGAGGGGGTGTTAAATGGGGCGAAGTATTAGGTGAATTGGATACTTCGGGGGGATGAGGTGTAGGAGGGTTAGGTGCAGTTGCAGGAATAGTTCTAGACAAGAGCGTCTGGAGAGCCTGTGCTATCTGATCCATACGGTGATCCTGCTCTACAAACCTTGCCTCGTGAGAAGCCATTTTCTGAGCCAAATCTGCGGGGTCCATGGCCCTATCGTAATGTAACGAGAATATACCCCAACACGCAGGATTCAGCTAAACAGAAGACAACACAGAGGAGAGATACGTCTACCGGACCTTAGAATGGCCGGACTCGACGTATATGAGAGGAGGCAGAGTCAGGAACGATCCGAAGTCAAGGACACAGAGAGACAGCGTAAACTAGGACTAGCCGGGGTCTGGTACACAGTAAACAGGAAGCCGACAACCAGAACAGATAAGGATAAAGAGAAAACGTAGTCAGAAACAAAGCCAAAGTCAATACGGAGAAAACACAACTGAACACAACAAGCGCTAAAGGGAACTGAAACAGAAACCACGATAGGGCAGGGAGTAAAGGGAGAGGTAAGTTTAAATAGCTTCTAAACTAATGTGATTGGCTCCTGTCATATCCACACCCCCAAAAGGTAAGTGTATGGGGAGTGTGGCATGACAGGGGCCAATGGGAGCCTTTTAACAATTTAGGCTCCCACTGTCTCTTTAAGAGCGCGCCCGAGACTCGCGGCGCGCTCTTAGATTCAGACGGGACACGTGACCGCTTCTTGCGGTCACTGCCCGCCTTCCTAGTGAAGCTGTCGGATGAGCCGCGCGCGGCTCGTGCAGCAGCAGGACCGTGCGCGGCTCGAAGAGAGGACCGCGGCCGGCCCCTGGATAAGACATTTCTGACAGTACTGTGCTGCATGTGACTTATAATTTTAATTTCTCCTACTACACATTTTACAGTGTAGGCTCAACTGCCCAGTGGCCATCATCTTCTTTAACATACTCAATGATTCTGAAGCTGAGACCTGAGACACTCATGCAGTAGTGAGTTGAAAAGTTGTGAAGCTCCACATTGTAGGACTGAAGCTGTGACTCTGAGGACTAAGCTTATTCTGATAGTTTCAATCTGTAATTGTTGTTGCTTCTGTTAACCATGTTAACTAATGTTTAGCTTCATATTACAATTGCAGATTGATCACATTGTCAGCTGCAAAGATGTATCCTACTGGTTTAACACTGTGCACACTGTGTGCTGAGAGCTAATAGAGAATCAGGAGTAGCTGACATGTTTCATAGCAGAAGCAGCAATATTTACTGAAATGCTAAAGCTGTCATATCAGGAGCACATCTATAAAAGATAGTAAGATAGGATCAGAAGAGAGGGCTAGAGAGATAGATTCAGACTAATGGAGCTGGAGCATTACACAGCGACATTGTACTGTGTGGATAAATATGTATTTTACATCTGTGTGGCCCTTATTGTACCCAGCTGTATCTGTTGTATATCTAATTTTACCCGTCTCACCCTTTTTCCAGTGTAGGTAAACAGCTTGCACAACCCAAACCAGAGTCTCTTATTTCTGGCCGTGGATAGATACTGTGTGGATAGGGAGGGCCTTACAGTTGTCCTCAGATCCAAGTCAAAATGGGTCAAATATATTAAAAAAAGATGACAGGACAAAATATAGTGTAGTATTTTGATGATATTGGTGAAATAAAGCTAATGAATTTTCATTTTTTGGACATGATAATTAGCTTTAGATATATGCACCTGAATGGTAAAATCCCTGTCGGTGGATATTACTTGATATCTTTAACCAGTGGGAGAGCTCCTGGTAGTATGAAACAATTGAAAAAAGCAAAAAATAGTTAGTTGAATGAAAAGATGCATACATTTAATTTGGCATATTTTTCCTTAGGGGTATATCTAAAAACAGCTTGCAAAAGCTCTAAAACTTTTGTCTAAAGCCTTGCACGTCCTTCCCTTTGAATCCATCCCAGAGTTTGTGTCTGTCCAATTACAGAGGTCCCAATGCACCTCAATGAGAAGTATTTGCAACGCGGGTTCTCTGGACAATTACTGCCTCATGAGTTTAGCTCCATTGAGCGAAGCAACCAGGAAGTAACAGGATCGGTTGTAGCCATTGGAGTCCAACAAGGTTTATTTATAAAATTGTAAATTTATATTGCAATCTGCACTTTTTTGTTTAAACTGACACTGCAGGACCCTAGTGCTTTATGTGCAAAGAATTCTCCTTTTTTCACATAAACAATGTGAATAACCTGGGGTAAATGCCAGCATAATACATGGATGAGAAGAAAAAGAATAAGTGTAAAAAAATGAATAAAGGGTTTCTAGATTTGATCACAATAATACATCTGAAAAGAGATGGTAAGTCCCAAGTATAAAACATGTCAAACATTCATAGGAAGTCTTAAGGGAGGCTGTGTGAGTCCCAGTCAGGGGTGGTGTGCCTAGGGCTACATAAACAAAGTTATTTAACTCCTGAATGGCATAGAAGTGAGCACTAACACTGCATGAGGCATTATCAATACATCAAAACCACTTATTTAATCTTAATTTGTTTTGGTGCTTAGAGTGTCAGTTTAATCTACCATCAATTCAAGATTTTATCAAGGGCTTTCAATTTTATTTTAGGGGAGTGTATTTTGTTGAATAGTCATTTCTTCCATTTTTTTCCTACCTATTTCATAGAGTCTCAGTGTCCATTGAATCAAATCAAGGCTCAGTTAGCAATTAAAAATTGTTGTTCCCAAAACATAAGGGTTTCAGTTTGGCAAAATATATTATCTCTAGATACAGTCATGGACGTGTTAAATTTGGATACATTACGTTTCAAATTACACCTGTGGGTTCATTTTCAGATCATCTGCTAAAGTAAATAAATAAATAAAATACATTTTGTCGAAATCTGCTTTCCTGAACAAATCCTAGAAAAAGTTGAAAATAATGAAACATATGGTGTAGCAGGTGGTAGATAATATATGTTCTGACCCTGAAGATATTTCCTGAGGACATTCGCTAATTGATTGGTCTGGCGTTTATATATAATAACACATGTGATTGGCAACATGTCTAACAACAACTGCCAATGTTTCTTTAATGGGAAACTCAAAGCACCATAACCACTGATACTCTTGGCATAGATTGCAGAGAAAAAAAGCTACCTGTACTTCTATCAAAATCATTTTAGCTACAGTCATCCAGCATGAACAAGGGAAACTTTAATAATCCAAAGCATAAGATCTACATGCTATAGCATCACAGAATATTGTTGTTTTTATACAATTATATTTTATTAAAAGCCCAAATTCACCCTTTGTTCACTTATATCTGGTTGTATTTATAGCTTCATATATGATTTTATTACATTTTATTACTACATTATGGAGAATGGTTATTTTTTGTGTTCACCATTGCAATTTTATGAGACCACCTCCTTTTGTCATCGTATCACCCCATTGCTCTAGTGTGAGCAAACACTGATCTAATCTGACCTTCCCCTATATAAAACCAAAATAGTCTTGATTACACTTTCTGGTCTGGACAGCAGTGTTTCTTGAACTTTTCCTCTATATTAGACTCTACAATCTTTACTGGAAGACTATTCCATGCATCTACTACTCTATCGGTAAATATGTAATTCCTTACATCACCTGTAAATGTCCCTCCTTCAATCTTAAAGGGATACTCCAGGCACCCAGACCACTTCTGCCCATTGGAGTGGTCTGGGTGCCAACTCCCGCTACCCTTAACCCTGCAAGTTTAATTATTTCATAAACTGCAATAATTACCTTGTTAGAACACGAAAAGTGTTTTAAACCCTTAAGGACCAAACTTCTGGAATAAAATGGAATCATGACATGTCATGTGTCCTTAAGGGGTTAAGCAACGCTGGACATCCTCACGCTCTGTGAGGACCTCCAGCGTCACCAAAATCCCCATAGGAAAGCGTTGAATAATGTTTTCCTATGGGGAGGTCTAATGTGCGTGCGTGGCCATTGCATGCGCATTAGGTCTCCGCTGGCTGACGTAGGAGAGTAGGCGGAGAGTAGGTGGAGAGGGACATTGGCGCTGGACTCCGGTAAGTCAGTGAAGGGGGTTTAACACCTTCAGCAACTTGGGATAGTTGTGGGAGGGAGACGGGCACTCCAGGGTCCTTGAGTGCCAGGAGAACAAATATGTTTTCCTGGCACTGGAGAACCCCTTTAATGTTATAGCTTCTTATTCTAGCTTTTCTCTTTATAAACATCAGTTATTTAGTATTCATATTCCTTTACATAGCAATCCACCTTCTTATTGTTAGCGTTCTATGTCTATGTAATATAAAGAGACAGGGTCAGTCACGATTTAAACTGCTAGTGCCTTCCAGCAGTTGAGATTGCCCCATGTTAATTCAGTGCCTGCATCCCATAGCTCTGCTTCTATTTGTGCTTAATTTGTAACTTCTCAATTGCCATTTGCTGAGTGTTTTTTTTTTTGTTCATCATTGGTAACCTGCAGTAATTCAGGTTTCAAAGCAGGAAAGCAACACATGAATAAAAACATGAACCTAGAACCAGCCAGCTGTCCTTAGAGACGCGTCAGCGCACGTTGGCTTTCCGTTGAAAATAACACTGCATCTGTTCCTCTAAAGTTGCTTTTCTGGCGCTAAATAATTGTCATCACTAAAGCTACATGCCTAGTTTTTTCAACAATAATTCTTCAATGTGTAATTTGCTTTCTGCGTGCTATGGATCCATTCTTCGCCTCGCTTCTAACACTGTAAATTTGTTTTCAATAGATAAATGAAATAAAATGTTGGATTAATACAGATATAAGCAAGCTGTTTCATTATACAGAAGGGGTACAGTGCATTAGAGTCTGTAAATGCATCCATATAGTGTGACAAACAACCCAATTATTCTCTGTATTTATGAAATGACAGATTTTTAATAAACTTACAGTAACGTGAGCATGGCCTCTAAAAGAATACTCTCTAAATGTGCTATAATATTATGTCATATTGTACTGCTGAATAAATGACTTCCCATTTGCTATGATACCAAACAGTTTCAGCAGAACACCAAGATTTAAAGGGGAAACTTTATCGTCTCTGATATTAATATTGTTCCAAAAACCATTGAAAATTGCCTTTAACTTGTATTAACATTTATTCATGTGATGTTACATTTTCGTTTAACCCCTTAAGGACTGAGCCAAATGTACACGTTGTGATCAAAACAAAATGTAAACAAAAACTTGAATTTACGCTATATGTATGTTCAGGTGTAATTCGCCTCTTTCATACTTATTATATATCGTTTTATTCAGGGGAAACAGGGCTTTCATTTAACATCAAATATTTAGGTATGAAACATAATTTAATATGAATAAAATATTTAAAAAATGGGAGAAAATAAGAATTTAAAAAAAAAGTTTAGTTCTACACAACTGTGAATGTTATAATACTGTTTGCTTTTAGTGCAATAAAATACACATGTATTGTATTCAGCGATGTCTCACATGTAAAACAGTACCCCCTATGTAGAGGTTTTATGGTGTTGTGGGGAGTTACAGGGTCAAATATAACACGTTACATTTTTCAGTTTTTTCACATTGAAATTCGCCAGATTGGTTACATTGCTTTTGAGACCGTATGGTAGCCCAGGAATGAGAATTATCCCCATGATGGCATACCATTTGCAAAAGTAGACAACCCAAGGTATTGCAAATGGGGTATGTCCAGTCTTTTTTAGTAGCCACTTGGTCACAAACACTGGCCAAAGTTAGTGTTCATATTTGTGTG